TACTATTTTACATTATACACAATAAATAGTAAAGGAATTAAACTGTATTTATATGAGTTTCTAATGTTGTTTTTATAAAGAGTATTAAAATTTTACTTTACATTTACCTCCAATTAGCCGTTTTATTAATAACGCACTTAATAATGTCAAAATAATGAGGGAGTTTAATTTTTAAACACATTCTTTAAATATTCATTGATGAGTTTAACAAAAGTTTTGTTTAATATGAAACATGTTGCATAATTTAAAATTTGATTTAAGTTTTCAGAGATACTAAGTACAAAATGAACAATTTTTCCGTGACCGTTTTGTTGCGGTTGGCAGGAACTTTTTTTAGATTTTTTGTTCCCCTCTTAGTTGATATTTATACTAAAAATAAATTTATATTATTATTAAATTACTATATTATTCAAAGTTCTTTACTTCTAAGGCCGTGAGGTTAACCGAGCCGAACCGTTTTTTCGGTGAAAACCGAAACAAAAAACCCGAATCGAACCAAACCGATCTAATTGTTTAAAATAAAATAAAAACCGAACCGTAACAGAAAAAACTTTGAAAAACTGAGATGTCAAAAAAATTATTTAATACCAAATATTATTAAAATTTATTAAATAATATATAATTTTTGTTTACTTTAAGAAATTTCAAACCAATAAAAGCAAAGTAAAATAGGGAACAATGTAAACATAATAAAATTGTCCGCAAACAGCTTGAAATTGCAAATGTAGCGGACCACGATGGAGTAAGTTTTTTTGAGAGTCTTGTAAAATGTAAGTATTGTATAAGTTTTTTCTAAAAGGCTGCATTTTTTATTTTATTTCAATTTTTAATATTGTTTATAATATTTACCATATAACATTGTTATTTTGAAAACCTCATTTTCTAAACTTTTTTCATTGTTTAAATAATAAAACTGATATAATCAAAAAAATTTGTTATTTAAATATTACTAATGCCTGTAGGATCATGCTCGACGTAAAATAATTTAATATTTGAATTGTAGCTAATAATGTTCTGAAAAATAACTAAAATACTTTTTAAGGATTTTGAAAAATTCTTAAGTTAAATTTATTTATGTTGTTATCTAATATTCAAAATTAAGATTTTACATATTTTTATTTATTTAGAATAGAATAGAATAGAATAGAAAAGGTGCTGTACACACTTGAGGTGTGTAGAGTCTTAATTACGTAGAATTAAGACTATGACAGCCGATTACAAAAATTAGTGTTCAGAAACCGAAATAATTATCGATACTGTTTTTAAAAAAAAAATTTATGTTTATTATACAGTTTGGTTGCCTCACTAATCATTTTTATTTTATTCACATTTATAATGCCGAAAGATATTCGGAAATTCTTTGAAAAGTCAAGTAAATTTGATTAAGATTTTGTAAGATTTAAAGCAAAACTTGCTTTAAATCTTACAAAATAAACTGTGGCAGTACTTCAACAATAACCAGCCATGTCAAAACTAAACATGAAGCATCTTGGAAAGAACATGTTTTAAAAACTACTAAGATACTTAAGCAATAAAAGTTTGACTTAGATTTAACAAAATTTATTTGCAAGCTTGGTCTACCTTTTTAAATTTTAGACAATGAAGGTGCACAAGAGTTTATTGATGAAGTAAATTGCAAGTTTACTGTAAAATCTACATTAACATTTAGAAGTCAAAAACTTCCTATCAGGAATGGACTAGGTCTTAGTGGCGGCCCGGGGGATTATATTTCTAGCGGCCCTCTATAAAATCTTAAAAAAAAAATCACATAATATATAAATAATGTGTTATTTAACTCTTAGGTACCTCAATTAACAATTGAGGTACCTAATTGTTTACAGCATATAAATATATTTTAGCATAATCATGTTCCCAATAATTTTAATAATTTTTCCTCCATATATTTTTATTGTACCTAAGTAGCAGCAACTGCGATTTATATTAGTGGCCCATTGTAAGTAAGATATCAGGGGCCCACCGGTGCTTTCCCCGGCATCCCGGTGGACAAATCCAACCCTGTTTCCTATATTGTATGAAAAGGTAAAAGAGGGGTTGCAAATAAAATTTTTCAAAGATTTTCCAGAAGTAACTAGATTTTTACAACTGATCTCTAGACAAGTCAAAACAATGATTCCTACATGAGTCTTACAATTCACTACATTAGTTCAGACTTAATAATTCAGAAAGTTTTCTCATTGCTTGCGCACCATTTACTGGTAGACACACTGGGGTTGCTGGCACCATTTACTGGTAGACACCTGGACTCTTTTATTGCTAATTTAAACTTAAATGAAGAAGTCCATCGAGCCTGCGTTAATGACAGTGGTAGCAACATTGTTTTAGCAACTAAAGAAAGTGATTAAATTATTTCCGAAATGCTCTGCAATGATCACACAATTCAGCTAGTTTTTCTTAAAGCAATCAAAAATTCAATTGAACTTTCTAAAGCAATAAAAAACTGTAGAGATTTAACATCACGCACACATAGAAGTGTACTCTCTACAACCAAGCTTTAAGATGCTTGTGAAGAACTTAGAATTAAGCCCAGGAAATTGATAGTTCTAATGGAATTCTGATTACATGTGCATAAAGTCCTTGAAGTCAAAGATGCAATCAAAAGACTTTCAAAATCTAATGATGAATTTGAAAGGTCATGTCCCTCAGACGATCGATGGAAGACATTAAAATACAGCATTCCATTTCTTGAAAAAATTTACAATGTTTCAGTAATCTTCTCAGCCAATAAAATATCAACAATCCAAGATGTTATACCTGAATTATATTTCTTGCACCAAGAGTTCCATTCCCAGCAACATCACAAACACAAGCCAACGAAAACATTTATAAAAATGTTGATTTGTGAACTGCAGAAAAGATATCCTCTTAATGGTGCTGAACAGCTGATTAATTGTTTTGCAAGTTTTTTAAGCCCACGATACAAAGGCCTGCATTTTATTGAATATAAAAAATGTGATGAAATAAAAGAAGCAATATTGACTTAGGAAAGAAAAAAAACATGAAAAAGCTTCAAAGAGTAGCAGCAAAACAGTCAATGAAAGTGATGAAAATGTTAAAGTTAATCACCACGAACTGGTTAGAAAAAGACTGAAACAAGATATTTATATAAAAGAAAATATTAAAAAAATTCAATTTTAGTTTTCTTTGGTATTTTTAAAAATATGTAATTCTAAACTTATTAAGTAAATAACGTCTAAAACTTTATTTGTTTTTAACCGTAACCGAACCGAACCGATCAAAAAAAAGTTTAAATCGAACCAAAAAAAACCGAATCGTTACATTTGTATTTAAAACCGAATTGAAAAAAACCGAACCGAAAAAAGCCTTAACCGCGAGGCCTTATTTACTTCTAAAAAGCAAATTTTTGAATTGAGATCAAGCGCTTGGGCGTAGTTTTTAAAACGCCATTATGTTTACCAAATAAACTTTAAATCTACATTAGGGTAAACAAACATAAGAATGCAAAACTATTTTTAGGGGCGGGTCCAGCATTTTAATTTTTAATTTTTTGTTTTGTTTTTGTTTGAGATAGCTAACTTCCAGACATGGAGCAAACTCCAAACATTTATATGTTTATACTAATGTCAAATAATGATGCTTGACAAAAAATTGCGGTGATTAGAACAAGATGCCTGCGAACAAGAAAAACCATAAAATTTTGGCAACAACTGAGAGCAGCAAATTAATAAAAGTTGAACGTTTTTCAACTTTTTTCAACTTAATTTATATTCATCAATAAATTTTAAATTTCATACAATCATCTCTTAGCGTTTAAAAATTATGAACTTATAAAGTTTTTAACCCTCTCAACTTTAGGGGGGGGGGGGCTTAAAAGTTTTTTTTAAAACCAAGCATCCTTACCTCAAACAATAAAAAATGCTGGATTCGCCCCTAATTTTGAAAACACTTTTTTATCTTACATAAATACAAACTGTTTTAAAGTGTTAATTTTCTATTAAATAATAAAAACTAAATATAGCCTTTTTCAATTAAAACCAAAATTGCCTTTTTTTCTGTGAACATTCCAAATTTTGGATTTAAAGTTCTATACAACTTCATAAACAATAGCATATATATGTAAATTTTTCAATATCTGGCTTAGGTTTTCAAAGTTGGCAATATGCACTATGTAATAAAGGCATAAATCTAGTTGGACAGTTTCAAAAAGTTGTTCTTATAAGTTTAGAGTGCCCTGGGTTTTATGGCCTAAAAGTATAAAAAGCCTTGGGTAAAATTTACCATTTGCAAAAATACAAATCTTTACAGTGTTGCTTTTTAAAGTTTTTTCCTTAATCTTTTTTTTTTTACTTTCAATGATACAACTTTACCATTTTATTAATTTTAGACAACAAAAGAAACAAATTATAATGCAACACATTTTTGCACAATTTACTTGGTTCATTTTCTTCTGAGATTACCTATAAATTTTTTTTTTTAATTTTTTTATAAAAAGCACATATAACATTTTTTTATGTAATAACTTAACGCACTTAAGTATAGAATTTCCAAGGCTGCATTTTTCGTTAATATTTTAAAAATAACTTAGTGGATTTTGTGTATGCATTTTCGCCCTTTATGAGACATTCGTTTTTATAACTATTTCACATTGGCGCATTTTTACAGTTAGTTAATTAGCTTTTAAAGTCTTTGCCTGATCTTAAAAAAAATATTAATTTTTTAAAATTAGATAGATTTCTTAGGAAATCTCTCACTATGCTATGCTGGACGTTTTTGTAATTTAAATAACATAAAAAATGAATGTGACGTATAAAATAACGATAATACTTTCGCCTGAAGGTTAAGAATTATTAATAAAACCAAAGGACTAAGCAACAATTAAAACTTTCACATCAACGACGTAAAAACAGATTATAATAACCTTGACAAAAACTCAAATCTTATTTTATCTCGAGCGCCGCAACTAAATAAAACGTTTAAAAGCCTCTTAAGATATTATGATTTATTCGTATAAAAGTAAAAGGTTATTATCAAATTGAAATGACTTCAAATTATGCGCAAAATATGTAATTATGGTTAACAACTCTTGTCAAATGAATATGTTAAATTAAGAGCGAGGTTGTTAAATAGAGAAAAGTTTTAATTTTTGGTTTAAAAACGCCTTCGTCACACCAGTTTTAAACCAATCGGATTATATTTGTTTCGGAAAAACCTTTATTCCGTTAAAGTTTATAAGTTACTTAAGTATTGTACGTTTAAAGTAGAATCACACAACTTCATAGAATTTATAAAGTTCTTGTAGAATAAACTTTATTGAACAAAATAAAAACACCATTTTTTAAAAATGACCGAAAAAGATGAAGATGAGACAATGAATGATACTGCATCAAGATTGGACAACATTAACAAAAGAAATATTGAGCAATTACAAAGAAAACACATGGAGAAGTATTTTTTTTTTCAAATAATATAAATTTTTTTGTATATTTCAACGCTATTTTAGAGATAAAATGCTTAGTAAAAAAATAGAAATTCAAAAAAATAGAGGTTCAGCATAACAAAGAGGTGGACTAGAGCATTGTACATTAAAAAACTGTATAAAAACTTAACTAATAAAAATAGAATGTTAAAACAAAATAAAACCAATACAAACGCAAACACACGTTTCAAATGTACTTTACAAAACAAAAGTTAAATTGTTATATATATATATATATATATATATATATATATATATATATATATATATATATATATATATATATATATATATATATATATATAAATATATATATATATATATATATAAATATATATATATATAAATATATATATATATATATATATATATATATATATATATATATATATATATATATATATATATATACATATACATATATATATATATATATATATATATATATATATATATATATATATATATATATATATATATATATATATATATTATATATATATATATATATATATATATATATATAATTTGTATCAAACGAAAAAAATGCTATTTTTTGTACATATTATGTTGCAAATATTGCAGGGATGCTCTATAAAAGGAAAGTAGTGCAACTATTAACAAGCAGTATTGTGAAGTGAAAGTTGAGAGGCAGTCGATTAAACAATCGGAAACAATTAATCAGAGATATTTTCTAGAATTAGATATATTATTCTATTTGATGTCATTTTTGAGTTTATGATGAAGTAATCATCCATTTAATAATTACTAACTAATGGAATCTATTGATACATGATGCTACGAAAACGCAAATGTGCACGATTCAAAATATAAATAAATATTTTTATACAGTAATAAAGTACAGTTCTAGGTTGATCCCGTACTTAACACTGTTATGTAATGAACCACGCGCTCTATTTGTAAGTCCTTTAATAATAAGTTGATTTGTTTGTAAATTTTGATCCTACAAATGTTTAAAGATTGTCGTAAATCGTAGAGATTTACGAATCTTTAAATATCTAACTGTATCTAATGAGATCTAACATTTTTACTGATAATTACCTAACTGTATCTAATGAGATCTAACAGCATTTGTACTGATAATTATCTAACTAAAACTAATGAGATCTAACATTTCTACGGATAATTGTAAGAAATCTGACGAGATTTTTTATTATTTTCATAATATTACTATTAAAGCTATTAACTATTTTGAATAAATAAACAATTTTTGGTTTAAATAATGCACTTATAACTTTTATATACTTTTTATAATTATACCGATATATAATATATCGGTATAATTATAAAAAGTATATAATTATTTATAATTATTCCGATTATATATCGGAATAGATTTAGCAAGGAATAAAGAAAAGCTTAACTTTTTAATTAAATTTTTCATTTGCTTTTAGATGTCTAAGTGTTAAGGGGAAAATAGGACCTTTCAAGTTTTACTTTAATCCTTTTACTACAATCGTATCCGCAGTTATAATTTGGGCATTTGTTGCATATTGTATTTCTAAACCTGTTAGTGCAAAAAAAGACCTTATGAAAGTGAAACGTTGGGTAACAGACAAATGGACATGGTTGTATATTGGAACACAAGATGCTTGGGCGCTTTTTGTTGTGGTTTTGTATTTTTCAAAGTATTCGTCTTTGAAACTAGGTGAATATTATTAGAATATGGTAAAAACATTAATAAAACTAAAAATTATATTGCTCTTAATGAAACTATAATGTCTCTATCACATTTTAATTCATAAAACTTAACGAATATATATTAGGGTGGACTTATAACAAAGTTGTTATTAAAAAAATATATATTTGGATATAAACTGATTTGGTTGTCAGTGTTTTATTATTTTAGATTTTGACTTTTAATTTTTCTATTTTTTAAATTTTTCAACTTATTATCTTACATAATATATAGTTTGTAAAATAATATTTTACTTTCAGGCCGCGATGATGAAAAACCTGAGTATAGCAACAGTAATTACTTTATGATGTTGTTCAGCGCTGGAGTTGGTATTGGCTTATTTTATTACGGAGTTGCTGAACCCATATATCACTACAAACCTAAACCCTTCGGAAATCGTTTTTATCAAAGGTACATTTTATTTGTTGAAAAGTTAAATACATCTCTCCTAAAATTGCATTTTAAAGAAATTGCATTTTATTAATTATATTAAAAAAATGTATAAAAAACAATAGATGAAAGAATAACTTGCTTATTAACAAGAATGTTCAATTTATTATGATAATGATATGTGTAAATAAAGTTCAAAAGTTTGCGCATACATGATACCATTTATACATTATTATGAGACGTGCGTGAAATAGTATACGAATATGTTATATATATTTAAGTTTTTCAATTCTTCGCATTTCAATATCTTCATTCACGAATATTACTCAAATTTTGTGTAATTTATTAAATGCTATTCATATATTCAATTGAAATAAGTTTATAATTAGGTTTTAAATGATCCGCTCTTCTGTGAGCAAACGCAATTTTTCATCTTCTTTTGTTAAGATTATGTCACCAACATTTATTTGTACACAACCAACAGTTATTTGTACACAACCAACAGTAATTTGTACACAACCAACAGTTATTTGTACACAACCAACAGTTATTTGTACACAATCAACAGTTATTTAGATTTGTGGAATTCTCCTAACTCGTTAAGGTATTTGTTCTACCATTGTTCTAAAAATTGTTTAAGAACAATTTGTTAGTGATCATATTGCTTATTTATACCAATCTCAAAATTATTATCACAGTTTACTCCATTTGAGTTTAATTTTTGCTCAAACACAAAATGAAATGATTTGGTATCAAATGTTTGACATAAGGTTCATTATATACACAAGTATATAATTATTTGCTCATATTTTAGGCAAGCTTTACCAATAAATTTCTTATGGCATTGTTTTACCATTTTTATCATTATCTCGAACAACCCACCCAATCACGGGGCAGATGGCCAATTGATTGACTTATTGCTTGCAAAAAATTGTGTTTGTTCAGCAACAAACTGTGTGCCATTATTCGAAATAATCTTGCTGGGAACACCTCTTCTAGCAAATAAATGCTTTAATCCTCGAATACAGGATTAAAGCATTTTTTTGCTAGAAGAAATAGAAAAAATGATAGATCAGATACATCTAAACATAGAGAACGAGTGCCAGCACAAATAAATAAAAACAATATCCAACATTTGAACATACTGTCTCCATAAATGTTTTTGACGTACACTTAATTAGCATAATCGACACCAGTGTACTTAAATAGGTCATCAGGGCCTTTAAACCATTTGTTGTAATCAAAAATGTACTTAAACTAACAACCAAGAAAAATAATATTAGCAAGATTCCGTGTAGGTTATACAAAATGCCAAAACTTGTTTGGAAATAAACTGCAAATTTTAATTAATTGATATTCTATAAATATTTTATAAGCTCGATTAAAGTTTTTCAACTAATGTAGACAGATGGAAGAGTCCAATAATGTATTTAGTTTGTATTTAAGTTTTTTATTTCAATTTTAAGTGCTGATAAAAGAGAAGACAACAAAACCGTTGTTCAAAATTCTGGGCTAGATTGAGAGGCAACAAGAGATGCAAAACAATATGAATCATTTACAACACATTTAAGATAGATGCAAGTACCATAAGAATATATATACTGGGTGGATGCAGCATTTTTTAATATTTGACCTAACTTCCATACAACGAGCAAACTTTAAACATTTTTATGTTTATACTTATGTCAAACGAGGATGGTTTGCAAAAAATTGCGATGATTGGAGCCAAAAAGTGAAAGCAAAAAGTTGATAAAAACTTTTATTACAATACTCAACTAAATTTATATTCATCAATAAATTGTAAATTTCATAAAATAACCTCTAAACGTTCAAAAATTATGGCTTTATAAAATTTTTAAACCCCTAAATTGAGAGAGTTCAAAATTTATTCAGTTAACTTTTAAACGCTAAAAAAATAATGTATGAATTTTAAAATTTATTGATGAATTTCAATTTAGTTAAGAATAGTAAAAAATAATTTTTTTCAGCATGTTGCTTTCACATTTAGTGCAGGTGTTGCAAAGAAATTAGAATTATTGATCCCGGGATTTCGGGATTGAAGTAAATAAAATCCCGGGATCCCGGTATCCCGGGATTTTATATAATGTGAGTTATTTGCTAAAAAACAGAACTTAATACTGCATATATGAATATACTTTTTGATGTTATCAATTCTTTATTTAATTTCATTATGTTTTAATGACTTACATTAATTTTCTACGGCGCCTTAAACTGTTTTAATTGTGTAACAGGCAGCAGGTGTATATAAAGATCTTAAAATAATGCAGAAATATATATATACGGTACCTTCCATATTATGTTTTAAGATTACAGACTTTACAGAATAACCTTCATCAAATAATTGGATATGTAAATAACATTTGAACATTTAAAGTGTATTTGACTAAAGTAACTAAACAAAATTTGTTTAATTTGACTAAAGTAACTATTTCAAAATAAATCTGTAAACATAAATTTTCTCAAATTTGGGTACCGATGTAGCTTCTGTAGCAACAAGCTACTTTGTAAAAAATAACATAAAAAGTTGTTTGTTAATATTGAGAGACAAAAATTAAAGAAAATCTTTATTTTATATTTATAAATAAATGGTAGCTAAATAATAAATGTAAAACAAAAAAACAATTCATATTAAATGCATATTTTATTTACAAACTTTCTTTTTTTGTCTGAAAATATGCCCGGAGCAATAGTAGAGCATTTAAGGTTTGGTCATTTAGCCTACTCCTTATTTTACTTCCCAAATACCCAGCTGCAGAAAATGCCCGCTCAGGTTCGATGCTCGTCGGCGGAATAGATAACAAATATTGGTATACTAATTCCAAATTATGCCCCCGGTTTCCACCATTTTCAAACAGATGCATTTCTTTCTTTATGATTGACATTAAAATTGAAGTTTGTGTTTCTGGTTCAATGGCTTTCATGCTTTGTGCAATTTGTTCTTGTAACTTTTCTCTTAAAGACAGGGAGGCTCGAACTTGTGATTCTTCATTTCTAACGACAGCCATTATATTTTCATCAACATCAATACTTGATTTTTCTAAATTATCATTTTTAAAAGTAGCTAGTCTCTCAATAAGTTTTTTTATCTGCTTCCTAATAAGGATTTTAGGAAGAACTCCAAAAATTTTGCAGACATTTGTTTCATCATTCACAGCATCATATTTTGGATTTTGAATGTATTTTAAAACACCAGAAATTTCTTCACATCGTCTTTTTTCCATTCTTGTTTTTATAGCTTGGAATATTTTATTAGCAAAGGGAGATTGTTTTTGAGCAATCTGCTGGAATAAAAATATAAGTACTGCATCTGCAGTGCATAGATTAGCATCTTGTCTGCATAACGCATCTACCGCTAATTTGACAGGTGCAAGTACTTCTATTATTTCCGAAAAGAAAACAAAATCACTTTCGTTTAAGGAAACTGGGTGGTTTAAGTCAATTAAAGCTTTCTGTATACATATTTTTAAAGCAAGGAAACGCTCTAGCATCGATAGAAGAGAGTTCCATCTTGTTTTGCAATCCAAAATGAGCGAAAGCTCGCTGCCTTTCTCTTCTTTGACATATTTTTGCAAGATCATTTTTTGTCGGGGATCGTTTAAAAAAAACAACTACCTTACGGGCTTTTTTCACTAGTTCATTGATATTTTGTTGATTGGTGAGTAAATCCATATTTGCTATCCCATCATTTGTTGGGGGAAGAAAGCCTAATCCCATTTCCTCGTCGATATTTTCTTGATCTTTGTGATCATCTGTTTCATCAACAATATCTTGAGTTTCCTTCAATGGTGCTTCGGTATCGGACATTGGCGTAGAACTTTTTTTATAAAGAACATCACAAACTGCAAGATGAATTCCATGGACTAAACACAACTGGTGTTCAGCCTCAATAATTTTTCCCACACGAACCATTACATTTGGACCATCCGTAACAATAGCAACAATGTCTGTATCAATATTAACATTATGCTCCTTTAGACGTGTTTTTAAAACACCAATACATTTCTCAGCATTCATAGAACCATATACACGAATAAGACCCAAACTCCAGTGCTTATTTGGGATATGTACATTAATATTCATGTATCTTTTATTTGTTGTAGAGGTCCATTCATCAAAGCTCATAGAAAATTGTGTTCCCAAAGCTTTATATTGATAAATTTCTTTGGAAATTAACTGTCTAATATTTAAGCTGTAACTCACCACTATCCTTTTAATTGAGTTTGCTGACTTGGGCAAAATTTCGAAACCACTGGTAATCAGTAATTGCCTTAAATCTTTTGATGTTATAAATACATTAAATGTTAGCCCATCTAAAGCTGTCATTCGAGCCAGTGTTTCGTCTAAGGTTTTTTTTTTTTCGGATGCAAAGTAACTCGTTATTCTTCGTTTTGTAGGAGGCTTCTCGTCGGTTCTGGCATCATTTAACTGTTGACTCGAACTAGGTAAATTTTTGTCGGCTGAAGTTACTTTCAAATTATGCTTAGTTGATAAGTGCGTATGAAGGCCTTTTGTAGAACCACCCAATGTTTTCAAAATTACACCACATTTCTTACATTTTGCTGCCAAATTATCCGCAGACTTCAAATAATGTGACCACACTGAAGTTGGGTCTTTATCTTTTTTGTGTAGAAAAAATGATGTTCCCTTTTCACTGTTTTTATTCATGTTTAGAAGGATATTTTTTTAAGGTGCATTAGTAAACAACATATTAATGCGGTAAACAACAAAAGCATTAAAAAGGTTATCAGTTCAAAACGTTCAAAACGATTCATTACACAGCAAATTTTGTATGTATTCACACTAGAATTCCTTTAAGCGGAATTAAATGTCAAGGGCATTATAATGTTGCAATAATTAATAATTCTACAAATATAATTATACAAATCGCTAGAAATATCCCAAAGGGAATTGTTATGTAGTAATCATTAAATTTTT